TGAATGCCAGAGGGGAAGGAGGACAGCATGAACTGAATTCTTTTGCTGGCTTCTGCATCTTACAAAATCTCTAAGTTACTGAAGAATTTACATTAGGAAGTTTCACTCAGGCTCATTACAAGAGGTCCATGATGCAGGTCTGGCAGGCAGCCGGGGGATGGAGACACAGGGGTTTGGGTTAACCTCTCTCATTCACACTTTCCCTTTCACAGTATTTTCAGTGTTCTCCAGCCTAGGCTGGGAACTGAAGACAAGGGAGGAAATGAGGTGGGCATGAAAGCAAAGCTGGTGAGGGGATGGGCACTCTTTGCCCTGCATGCCCAGCCCTGGATGTGCATCACTGCTGCATCTGCATCCTTTACAGCAGGCTGCAACCACCAAGCGAAACCCAGAGTTTGGCGTCTGCACCACAAAAGACATCACTGCAAGCCAGGGATACTCCGGGTTTTGCTGAGAGGCCAGGCTGCCCTCACCCATCCGAGTCTGTCAGCGTCACAATTAACTTATTGAGGTCAGTACTCATAACAGCAGTATTGCGGACTTTTGATTCAGTCTTCCTTTCTGAGAAAGCCCCATACTCTCTGGCCCAGTACGGCTATTACCTGCCAACCTAAAGGATGATGAATGTTATTTATATTGCGGTAATGGCTAACCACTCAGTGGAGACCAGGGACAGGCTGTGCTATGGACTTTTCAAACACACACTGCATGAGGACTGCCCACAGATGGCTGAGTGTATGAAACTGCTGAGACATTTCAGGATAATGTTCTTCAACGCCTTGGACACGATGACCTCCAACAACTCTGCAGCGCTTGTGCTGACTGCAACAACACAGGGTGCCATTCTACAGTAAAGACGTTCATTAATACCAAATTCTTATCAGTTACTGTGAATACAATAGCAAAAAACTCATCTACTTCAAAGCAAGCAACTCCTTGGTATGAAGGCCTTTAAGTTCCTTGATTAATAAATGTAAAAAATATTAATCTCTTTCAAACTGAACAGAAAACATAGACGAATAAAGAGGTATTCTGATTAAAAGTTTTCCTAATATTTAGCTGCTATAGTTTTGCTGTCCAAAAAAAAAAAAAAAAAAGTGAACCAATGAATAAGAACTACTCAAGATGTAGATGAAGAAAGTAATCCAGCAATAGTAAATCATGAAGGGCCTGATCCTTTCAAAAAGCCTGTAAGACCAATTTAACTCTGACATGTGCACACTTGCAGGATTAGGATTCAAACAATTGCGGGAAAATGTAAGAACTGAAAAATTATACCTTTTGCTTTTCACTGTGGTGAGCCCAGAGGGTGGATAGCTAACAGTCCCTGGGAAATATCCTCCCAAGAAATAGCCCCACAAAGATGCAGAGGAAATACATCTAAAACATTCAGTGCAGATTTTTTTTTTTCATTATTAATCATTCTCTCTGTATCTTAGAAAAATCACACAGTGACTTCTTCCATATGCACTGAGGTACAAGAAACCTAAAATATTAAGTGACATATTCCACCAAGAAATGCCTTAGAGAATATGCTGTGGAATTGGTGTCGGTCCCTCTTTCATCCCTTCTACAATTAATGTTCCAGTATTGAAGTTCTAAATATATACCTAGAAACCAGCAGACGTTAGTGTCCATCAGTAACCTTATTAAAACCCAAATGCTAGAGATATACCTTACCTTTAAGTATACTGTTTACACGCAAAAGTTGCTTTGGACAAGGCTTTAGACGAGGCTATGTCAGAGCTTCATAGCCAAAAGCCTGAAGACACCGGAGCCCAGTAAACAGACTAAGCAGGGATCAACCTGATATGCTTTCTTCTGTCTTTTCAATCAGATGGGTGGTCACTCCCAAACCGAATGGGAGAAATAAAGCACACAGTGAGACACTGCAAGTACTTTCTAGCTGTCTCAACTCTTAAGAGTACTGGTGTCTCAACATCTGGGCATTCCCTTCACTGCCAAACACTCACAGAGCAATGGGATTTGTCAGCAATCTGCTGAGCATATACAGATGACAACTGCAGAGCCTGGAGAGCTCAAAGGCATTTACAGATAGATAGGGGTTTGCAATAGATGTGTTGAACCAGGGCTGAGATCCAGAATCTGTGAAAATTACGCCCAATAGCTGTGAAGCCTTCAGCTGCGGTACTTAAAGCAGGCACCATAACGTGCGAAATTTAGCCCAGGTGTGCTTTACGATTACACAAATTGTTTAAGGGAGGCTGATCAGCCTCCATGTCACACACTACAAGGAAAAGGCCGGGCTGTTGGGATGATTTTGGAAGGTGGTCTTTGCTGCCTAAACTACACTACTATCTATCATTCAAATACATGGAGAGGAAGCATTGTTTATAAACAGGTTTTGGATTGTCCTAAGTACAAATTTCATGGACGACAGATTTAAAGCTCTCTCCAGCACCTACATCTCACCTAGTGGTACTCTGTCCCTCATAGACTTCCAGCCTGTTGCCCCACCATGACCTACGTATATTCTTAAATCTTTCAAAAGATCTTGACAAAGGGATATGTCTTGGTGATACAACAGAGAGGCATTGTATCGAAAGATTTTTGCCTTACTGACATAAGCTCCAAATTATTTCCAAAGTCAGTTGTATTTTCAATAATTTGTCCATTTTGTATTTTTCAAAATAGATTTATCCACTTATGATAGCATACTGCTTAAGCCCCTCCATCCTCCAATCCAGCCAGCGATAGAACTTTGCATCAAACTTTTTATAGCATCAAATGTATGGTTGGTTGGTTGTTTTTTTCCCTGGCATCCTAAAAAAAAATGAAATCTTTATCAGCTACAGTCTGTATAAAAGCCTAAGTTAGCTCTGTGGTTTTCAAGAATAGCTGGTTAGACTCTGAGGCTATGCATTCTTCTGCTAAAAGAGATATTATCACATCTGTGTCTAAATATTTTTGCTTCCTATGTCTGCTAAAAGCAACACCTACAATTGCTGTAACTGAAAATGACAAGATAAAAATATTTTTCACCAATTTGTCACCCTTTTGCATTTAACAACACTAAATGTATAGTCTAGTTCATTAACAGAGTTTTGCCTGTTTGTATTTACATATAACAAGGGAGAAATAAATGTGTTAAAAAGGAAGAAAATAGAATTGTAAATACAACAAAAATGGAAACAGAGTTTGTGGGTTGGTGCAGCATCTAAAACCACTTAACGCATTTGAAAAGGAAAAAAAGTTAACTTTCAAGTTGACTCACCTAACTACTATAGCAGCACATAAGATGGCCATCAGGTATTTTCATTTGATCTCCTTGCTCAGCAGTCTCATTACAAGGTTTTAACCTTATTAGTGGGGTTCTCAGTCTCTACGCTTCATGTAACTGGTCCAATCAACTCTTTTCACCACTTTTGCATAGTTAAGTCATTAGAAAACTTTAAAATGCACTACCTTTTTTTGTGAGTGTGGAGTTGTCATCATGTATATATCACAAAGGAAAAAATACAAAAGCAGAAAATGTCATGAATTCTCCTTCAAGCACATGGTATTGCAGTAGCACTGAACAAGTTTCTATTAATTACTTTCAGAAAGAGAAGGAGATGTCATATTTGAGATAGAGGATCCTACCAAACCCACTAAAACCATCCGTAAATCTAACAATAGTGAGATGTTTTCATTAACTCATTGTGACAGCTGTCAAGCTGGGGAAAAGTTTTTGTTAATGCCAGTACAATTGTTCATTTAAACAAAAGCCAGTAATTCAGTCACACTGGAACAGCTTATGTCCCCAGCTCTGCCGTACAATCTGCGCACATGCATACATTACATCTATATGCATAGCTGCTCTTTAATTTTTATGTTTGGGGCTATGACGTGATTTGTCCAGAGCATGAGCAGAGCCCTACAAAAAGCAGGCCAGAAGGTAATTTGTGATTGAGTTGTAACGAGCTGGCTCTGATTTCCCGTGCTGGAAGGGGGAGGTTCGGCACCCCAGGCTGGCAGATGGGGTAGGACACGCTCCCTGCAAGCCAGGCTAACCATGTGGTCACTCTTTTTCCCCATGCCCTCAAAGTAAGAGAACACAACCATTGGTAGAGATGTCACCTCGCTCTGTGCGTGGTGACAGACTGAAGTACCAAAGACGTCGCCAGCATCCTCCCTGGGGACCCTGTGTGACCACGGCTTGACCCAGAGCTCACAAGGAAATCCCAGTGTAGGGCTGGTGCCATCACAGGGTCTTTGCCACCAGTAAAAATGCAGAGATCCCATTAACTTCCTCCACTCAAGGCAGGGCCTGTAGCATTAAGGTGATTTTCTAACAACAAACCCAACTCTGAACAAGAAATGGAGTGCAACCCTTACCTCCTCGTAGACATTGTCAGCTGAAGTCTCCGACCCTCCTTGGAAGGACGTGGACATGAACATGCTGAAAACATGAAACAGAATAATGGTGATTAGCAAGCTCATGACTGACTTTTCTGGATTGTCAGCATTATTCTCCACACATACAAGTAACCGTGCATGGGCTCCCACAGCATTATTTTCAGAGGAAAATACATTAACCTGTTCCATAACTGTATCTCAACTCTTTGGAGAATATAAAAGATGAAAAACATGAGAGCGCAGCTCTGCTGTATTATATGAGCTTTGGAGTGAAATGCCTGGAAGTTTAGGGGCTCTGTGGAATTATTCATAGTTGTCAGTCAGAGATGTATTTAGCCACAGCTTTGAAATGACAATGTACCTCGGAGCTGCGTGTTGTGACTTCAAAACCGACAAGAATAAGAAAGAAGGTGCCGGTGATGGGACAGGCTGTAGCAGGCACGGGCAGAGGGCTCACGTGGGCAGCCCCGGGCCGGGGGACAGAGGAACCGATGGTACATAACGGAGCCCATGTAGGTAGAAAGGCTGCCAGAAAAGGACACGCACGAGGCTGTTCAGCACGGCTAATGCAATGTCTTTCACAAGGTTAAAAAGACTTGAATGTTTTGCTTTTCCCCCCAGGAAGCTGTAGCCCGAATACAACAGACTGAAGGTCCCAGCGGTGTGAGGTGCGTGCTGGGGGCACACGCCTGCGGGGACACGGGCTCCAGTGCACCAAGTGGTCCCAGACCTACGAGGCACAAGAATTATGAGCCCGGTTTTGCAGAGCCTGAAGCGTGAGCATCACTCGCCTGACGGCAGGGCCATCGCCCGGGGGTAGCAGAGCTAAGGACTGTAAACTGCACAGGCAGCTTTGGGCGACCTGGCACGGGAGGGAGGCGACGGGTAATGTTTTTGTCGCAAATGCTGATGAGATACTGGGAAAAGGAACAAAAATATGGACAAGAAAGCAAATATATGCCTTGCCACCTTGCCAACTTGATGTTATATTATTACTATATTTTTTTTCGTCTGTTAAGAGATTATGACAGTCTCTTCATACCATGTAAGAAGGCTAATTCAAGATTCTTGAGACTCAGACTCTACCAGGAAATCAAACAAATGCTCATCTATCTGCTTTTCTGCAGTAAGTTCAGCTACAACATTGCAAAGCATTCTTTTATCTTTTCCTCTTTCTCTTCCACTCTCTTTTGAGAAAAAAAACCAAACCCTGAGAATAATTCTTTAGAAAAAAACCAAACCAAACACCTCATTGAGGAGAGGCAGCACATGTTCTGAATGACAGATCACATTTATGCATCTCCAGATCTTTTCAGACGGTGCCTAAATCCTTCTTTAAAAAGAAAAAAAAAGGAAGACTCCATCAGAAACAGCAGAAACAGAAACATCAGAAATGCTTTACATAGAACTTAGATAGCTTGCACCTGACTCAATTTGATGAGGTGAAAATCAGCTGAAATTCGTGCACCTCATTGAAACATTCTCAAAACATGGCTCCAGCCTATAATGAAATCCAAAATCAAAAGAGATTTTCTTAGGCTATTTGTAAGAAAATTCAAACACACCTATATTGTGCTAGCTTCAATCCATAAAAAAATTTGCTCGGTGAATAAAATGAAATCACAAGGATGTTTCAGTTAATGAAATATTCCGAATACCACTCTTTTTTTCCCCCTCAGCTTACCCTAGAGAAACCGACTATGCGATTGCTTATTCCTATCATTATCCACAGTTTTCAGTGTATTCAGCCTAGAGATGAGGATGATTCTTGAGGGTTAAAAACTGATTTTGAGTAATATATCAGTGATAGTGTTCAGATAGTGTATTATACTAATATATCATGAGAGCGATAGTGCTCTTGTGATGTATTAGCGCAATGTATCATCTGAACATCACTGCTCTCGTGACGTATTGCTCAAAATCACAAGGCAAGTTTAAAGATGGTCTTCGGTAGCCCTAGGCCTGAAATTTTGCTTTTGGACAGAGACTTTCAAGAAAAATAAAAGTGAAGATTAAAGTTTGCAGTGGTACTGTAAAATTTCACTATTGTGTGACACCTGTGGTTCTTGTTAGATTGTAAATTTATTCATAAAAATAGAGAATAATCTGCCAGTCAGTTCCTTTCTCTTCTGCTACAAGGAGTGTAGTTTTGCTGCAAATATCAATTTTCAGGAATTTCTCTTGATGATATATAGAGAGCCTAATATCAGCTATCAACAACCATATCCCCCAAAAGCTCAGTCACCTTGAAGAGTAATTTTTATCTCTGTGGCAGAATGTTCCAGGATGCACACAGGAGAAGATCTGTATACCCACGACAGACAATTTGGAATATCAGAAAGCACGCAGGGATGTAGTCCAAAGCTCAGTGCAGAGAAGCTGCACTGCAGATGCACAGACCAGCACAGCAGGTAATGAATGAGCCTAATGTGATCTTCTACCCAAAATGGGTAGCATGAAAAAAAGAAGAAAAAGTGTTTATGACAGCATATGGGCCACTTGGCATCAGCGGGGACATCCTCAAGGGCTACTCACCTTTACTACATGCATTATGTTCTTACACAATGCCAGGCTGCATAGCAAAATCTGTCAGCTGTATCAGAAAACAAATGAGTATTTGTAAAGTTTGAGGTAACTAAAATCAATTTAAAAACGAGTAAATTTTTCCAGACATCCTTTTTTTTTTTTTTTTTTTTTTTTTTTTTTAATTCTGTGCAGGGAACATAAATAAAAATCTGGATTGTCCCTACTGTTTGTGTAATAGAAACAAACAGGAGTGGCAATAGTGTCTCAAGTAATTTCCTTCTCTTGGGTTTCACCAAAAAAACACGGGGAGCTACAAGCAGCACAGAGCAGTGGCTACCATGTAGCGGGAAACACTGAACAAGGGGATTTCACACCTTCTCTAATCTGCTTTTCAGCTTCTGGCCTTCCTGACTCAGGGATGCTGATATTTGGATTCATTAGGAGTTCTTTAATTGATCATTTTTGCTCCTTAGTACTATTTGTTATTGCTAAAGCCTCAATCCACCACGGCACTTAAGCACCAGCTCAATTTCCAACCTGTGAATTGGTTCAGTGGGAGTATTCACATCCTGGATATTATGTATATGTCTCAGTGTTTTGCATCCGCGGATGGCTACAGGGAGCTCTCCCCAACTAAGGGTAGCAGAAATAACTTCAAGGTGCCCACAAATTAAACTTGCTTCCTTCCATTTTGTTTTCCAGGCAAAACAAAAACCTGCACGTCCAAAAAAGACATTTGCAGTTGACTGAAATGTGTCAGAAGATACAAACAAAACATTTGGCTGCATTTTTTATTTTTTTTTAACCAAACAAACAGATTTAGGCAAATCTTCCCTCAAAACACTGCTTGGAGACAAAAAAATCCAAACATTGTGTATACAAAATGTCAAAATAAAGCGTTTCAACTTTTTCCCCAGTTATTGTGGGTATCCTCATGTCTGCTGGGTGGCAGACAGCCCCATCACATTCCAGCAGGCTGCATTCAATCACTGCTGACTGTATTTCATTTTTTTCCTAAAAAATTGCTTTCCCCTCATTTTGCATTATTTTGATTAATAAGCAAGAAAAGCAACATAAAACAGCCGAGACATTTACATTAATGGACCGATCAATATTACCCGCATCAGGGTCGAAAAAATGCAGACACACGCTTGCATTGCTTAGAGCGTTCGCTACCATTCCCTCTTCTTGTCGGGCACTGATGGAGAAAGCTGTGCGCAGTCGCAGGAGATGGGCACACAAGCTATGACAATGTGAGGACACAGCTGTACGTCCCCAGGTGGGGTGCACCATGTGGGTCAAAGATGCCTGAGCCCTACCAGTTGCTTCTCGTACTGGTGACAAGGTTTCCTGCCAGGGATGTCTGGGGCAGCAGCAGCTGGAAGGAGGCTGTGGGAGCTGAATTTTATAGCACCTTCAAAATTAAAATTATTAGACTGACAGGTTTGTAGGGCAGGGACTGCAGCTTCCTCTGTTTTCACAGTGGCTACCACATTATAAATGAAATCTCAGGTTGAGAAACTCCTAATGGTGAGAATTATCAAGTGATGCAAAATCACTCTTAACAGAAGTTTTTTTCAAGACCTTTAAACCCAGAATGGCAAGAGAGTTAGAAAACATACTACAAGGAACAAATCTGTAGTGTCCTGAGGAAATCATGAGCCAGAGCTGGTGTGTGCCATCTCTGACCTCCCACCGCAGTGAGGGGATGCTCCACTCGAGCCCCACAGTGTTCCCAGCACGACTGTGGGAGCGTGGGGCTGCTGACGGGCACTCTGGAGCATTCTCATCCCACCACTGCTGAAATCTGGCAGCAGCACAGGCATTTGTGAGACTATACATCTAAAGTCGATTTCTAGTGAACCAGGGCTGCAAAATGCTCACAAAAGTCTCAGCCAAAAAAACTGGAGCCTGTTTTGTTGGAAAAACACCCATTCAGGTCAGGTGAGTTTTGCTTCAGCACTCAAGGCCGTGCAGAATGCAATGTTCCCAGTTACGGCTGTTTTTATATACTGAATTATGGTTGAATAACCAATGTGTCACCACAGCACTGGATGTAAAGTGAAAATACTAGGCAAAAATAGACACTGAAAGAGATTTCCCGGGTAGACCAGAATAGCGAAGAGCAGATGACCCTGCCACACACCACTGGGGAGGACATGGACGTTGCCTGCAATAATTCACGAACATTATGTTGTGTTCGCTCAGCTGCTGTGCTGGTTAGCAGAGCAACAAAGCTCAGCTTCCAACAGAAAGGGAGATAATAGCCTGTACGAGAGCTCCTCAGCATGCACCCAGGGTCTATTAGCAACAAATGTTGCTATAGGATGAATACATAAAAACCAGCAACAGGTCACACAGCCCTGAGGACAGGGGGGCTGCCAAAGAGTTGGCAGAGGCAGGGCTGTTCCCCCCACACCTGCAAAAGCAGTACATGGCTGAGCTGTGTCTTCACGCTGCGAAACCAGATGCCTTTCAGCAGCTCGATCCTTTCCCTCGTTACTTTTCATTCGTTCT